AATTACCATGTTTCTCTTTTATTAGGACTAGAGGCCCGGTGCACAAATGTTGTGCACTGGGGGCTGGGGGGGTGGAGGAGGTTCCTCAGCCTGGCCTGCACCCTCTGTCAGTCCAGGACCCCTCAGGAGATATCCACCTTCCAGCTTAGGACCTGCTCATAGCAACCGGTCATTCTGTCATTTGGTTGATTTGCATATTAGGGTCTTATTATATAGGATACCTCTATCTGTCTATCTACCTATCATCTATCCATCTGTCTCCCTGCCCTCAAGGAACTTGCCTTCAGTTTAATATTTCATTTTTCCTCCCATTAGGAATGACTGTTTCTGTGTGAGCTATAATAAAGCTATGCACAGAGCAGATTGAATGTCAAAGGCTGTGTCAAATGGGAAGGCTTCACAATGCAGCTGCCAATTCTTTGAAGACTTGAAAGCAGAGTAGGATTTGAAAAGGGACAGACATTTTTTGAAAAGCCAAGTGCATGCAGTTTTGAAGATAGCCCTCTATTGCTACACAGAGGACCCTAGCACAGTGATTCTCAACTTTGCCTGCCCAACTGAAACCACCCAGGGAGCTTTCAAGGCAGACATGCCAGGCCCCTGCCCCTGAGATTGAGTTTGATCTCAGAAGAGGCCTGGTCATGGAGACTTTAAGAGCTCTCCGGGTGATCCTCATAAGCAGCCAAGATTGAGCGCCCTTGCCTCAGGTGATGGGCAAGAGGTTGTAGGTAGGGAAAAACTGGCTGTGTTACCAGGCTGTTGTAAAAACCTCCTATGTATAGGGTGGGGCAAAAGTAGATTTACGGTTGTGAATATGCAAAACAGAGTTAAAAAAGCTATTGTAATAATCATAACCTGCATGTCTTTTTCCATATGAACCACTATAAGCCTACTTTTGCCCCACTGTGTATAATAATTTACACCAATTGTGGAAGTCATCTATATTACTGGCATACATTTGTTCATAGCGTTCCTATAGAAAATTATAAAATCTTCTTGCTATGTATTTCATTTTGGCTTACATTTCCAGGGTATTTTAGACACTTCCTTTTATAGTATAAAATAATGTTACTTGTGAGACTTGAAAATAATTTTATATTTCCCATTCTTATGTGGATGAAGGCAAAATAAAATAAATTTACTGTCTTATGTAAGATACAAATAAAGTGTCTAATGCAGTGCCTGACATGTAAAAGATGAAGGAAATAAACTAATATTACTAAATATAAGTCCAGGACTGGGCTAGGTAATGATATATGTAATCTTAATTTATCTTCCATCAACTCATTTATGCCCACATAACAATTTTATGTGTGTGTGTGCATACATAGACAACAAAGTATAGGATTATTAAATTCACAACTTACACTAATAAACATTATTTTTCTGAAAAAATATTATGAAAACACTTTCTTTTTAAGTGCAAAGTATACTGTTTAGCCCTAGTACAATGTTCTGACATACCTTAGCGAACATCAAGGGTCACGTAGATTACTACAACCTATTGTAACTACATTCTTATCAACAAATTACAGTGTTCACCTGGGTGGAATGCTGGTTAATCCCATTCACAGACGCCGCGTAATCCTGGAATGATAATGGTTAACATAACTAAACATGACTTAGGGAAAACTCAGGCTGCAAGGTAATTTTTAAAAAATATTTTTTTATTGATTTCAGAGAGGAAGGGAGAGGGAGAGAGAGCTGGAAACATCAGAGAATCAAGTGATCGACTGCCTCCTGCACATGCCTCCTACCAGGGATCAACCCATGCATGTGCCCTGACAGGGAATTGAACCTTGATCTCCTTGTATATAGGTCCATGCTCAATCACTGAGCCATGTAGGCTGGGCATGCCAAGGTAATTATTTTAAGATTTATCTGAATAAACCATGGTGGGCATCTGGCCTCTGCTCCCTCTTTCACCTAATTTCCCACCCATCTCCCACTCCCTGGCTGCTCTCACTCACTGGACTCCTTACACCCTTGGGGGCCACATGCTGCTTCTGACCCCAGGCAGTTTCACACTCTGTTCTATCTCACATGTTACCATCACCATCACCGAGAAGGTGTACCTGATTACTTTAATCTAAACAGGTCACACCTATTTCTTTTCCATGATATTTTTTTTCTTCTGTGAATTAATTCCAAGCCGCCAGCTCTCTTGTTCTCCTCTCCTCCTGGCGGCCTCCCACTCTGCAAAGTTCTCCAAGCCACCCACTCTGCTCTCGCCCTGCAATGATGGTCCCAGGGCCTGCAGCCGCCATCACCTCTGGGGCAATTGACACCAGGTGCAGCGGAGAAGCCAAGCCTCTTCAGTCTTCAGTCTTTTTCAGTCTTCAGCCTTCAGTCTTTGCTGGGGCAGGTGCCTTCAGTCTTCCCTCCGTGCCTGTGCATGCAAATTAACTTCCATCTTTGTTTAGTTAATTTGCATACTCACCCTGATTGGCTGGTGGGCATAGCGGAGGGATGGTCAATTTGCATGTTCCCCTTTTATTAGTATAGATAATAAAAGCTTAATATGCTAATTATACCAGACAGCCAAATGACCTTCTGGACATCCTTCCAGACAAAGCCAGGGCTGCGAGGGTCAAGGCAAACCGCCACAGTAGCAAGGGCCAAGCCCCTTGCATGAATTTTGTGCATCGGGTCTCTAGTATATATATATATATGAAAAGAAAAGGTTGAGGAATCCAGGCTGTGGGAAGCCCTGGCTAGGGGCTGTCAGGAGCCCTTGAGTGCTAGCCACTCAACAGTGACTTCTTCCAGTAAAAACAATAATAATAATAAAAAAAAACCTAAAAGCAAAACAGCAGGAAACAGCAAGAAAAGTCTCAAATCCTGCTCCCTGCACCTGTCATACCAACCAAACCAGATGGAGAAAGCTGTACACAACACAGGATCCAAGAACATACAGGAGCATACAGTGGGGAAAGGACTGTCTCTTCATAAAAATGTCCATAGAATAATGGTAGTACAAAGTAGGCACTCTACGATTGTAAAGAAAGAGGTTCTTTTATATCAATGAAAGAACTGGATTTTTTTTTTATCCACTGAGCCAAAACACCAGGGCTATTTAAAAAAAAATTTTTAAGTCTGTACTTGGTTCAATAGTCACACAAATGCCATTGTATCAGACATTCTATTAATGAAACTGCATTCTTTTTTAAAAAATATATTTCTTTATTGATTTCAGAGAGGAAGGAAGAGAGGGAGAGAGATAGAAACACCATTGATAAGAGAGAATCATTGATTGGCTGCCTCCTGTACACCCCCCACTGGGGATCGAGCCCGCAACCCTGGCATGTGCCCTTGGCCGGAACTGAACCTGGGACCCTTCAGTCCGCAGGCCAACACTCTATCCACTGAGCCAAACTGGCTAGGAATGAAACTGCATTCTTAATCAACAGTAATGAATGTTATGCTTTCATACCTCTAGAAGGAGATGTACTGCATGCCTAAAACACAGGTCTGATGGTGATTATGACTAAAACACCCTATTGAAACACTGCCTCTTTATACAGTGACAGAGTGGAAGGTTTCTGTCTCCTGCTCTCACATGCACCGTGGAATGTGGATTGTTTACTTGTGCAGACATGGTCATTTGGGTGCTCCTGGGATATGAGGTTGTGTACCACCATGGTTAAACATTCTCACTGCAGGTGAATAATTGCAAAATGGTTCTTGCAAATGCACTAGAGCCTAAAATTCCATCATGTTTCCCATGTCCACACATTTAATTTTAGAGCCCTTTTCTCATCTGTCACCTTTGTGTTTCCCCAAGGACAGAGTGGCCTAAGGACACAGAGATTTCACGCCTCCTTTGGCCCCTCATTCGTCCAGGCCCACAATACGCCCTGCCCTCCTTGACCAGACATACTCTTTTTATAACTCACCACAGTGCCGGCGCCATTAGAGGCCCCTCCAAAGGCTGGACATGAGCATGTCTGACCCACAAGGGCCCCACCCAGGGGCAAATCCAAATCCTGCCGTCACATGCTCCCCCTTCACCAGCACTGACTCCCATCTCAACCAAGCCCACGTCCCAAAGTTCAGAGTTCAGCCGAGCTGGGAGCAGGATGCGTAGCATGAATCAGTCCTCCCTCATACTGGCATTGGTACTTCCAGGCTGTACACCCTCAACCATTAATTCCTTTTCCTTTTGCCAAAACCTTCACATGTGCACACCTGGGGAACTTCTCAGACTTGAGTCTGGCACTTCCAACAATACAGATGACCTAACAACAGATGGGGGATCAGGGGCTACCCACCTCCTCCACCCCCCGCCGCCCCAGAATCACCATGTGTAATATAAATACACAAGGCACCCATCAGCTCCTTACTTGGAGTGACCCCTGTGATGTCTCCTGAATCTGATTCTATACTTCATTCTAACATGGTGGTTTCAGCACTCATTGGCCCCTCTGCCTAATGAAGCTTGGAAAGCTTAACAGAATAACTTTTAGTTCAGCTGCCTTCAAAAACAGCTCTCAGACCAAGAATTTGCTTTGCCATGGCAATTTTCAGATTACTGTCCTCGACAAAGCAGCCTCACATGCCTATGAGCACACAGAAGTTCAATTCTGTCCTTCATATATTTATTTATTAAACTTATCTTTATTTTTTAAAGTATTACAGATTTCCCCCTTTGCCACCCTCAACCCATCTCCTGCCCTACACCAGGCCTTCAATACATTATTTTCTGTGTCTATGGACTATTCATATATGCTCATTGATTAATCTCATCCCTCCTAACACCCTCCCGTCTGCCATCTGTCAGTCTGTGTTTCATGTAGCCATGTCTCCAAGACTTATTTTGTTCATCGGTTTATTTTGTTCAGTAGATTGCACATGAGTGAGATCATGTTATATTTGTCACTCTCTGACTGCCTAATTTCGCTTAGCATAATAACCTCCAGGTTCCTCCATGCTGTCCCAAAAGGTAAGAGAGCCTTATTTTTTACTGCTGCATAGTATTCCATGGTATAAATGTACCACAGGATTTTTTACCCACTCATCTAATGATGGGCACTTGGGCTGTTTCTAGATCTTAGCTATTGGAAATAATGCTGCTATGAACACAAAGGTGCAAATATTCTTTCTGATGGTGTTTTAAGATTCTAAGGGTATATTCCCATAAGTGGAATGGCTGGATGATAAGGCAGTTCCATTTTTAATTATTTAAGAAAACTCCATACTGTTTTCCACAGTGGCTGCACCAGTCTGCATTCCCACCAGCAGTGAACTAGGGTTCCTTTTTCTCCACCTCCTCATCAGCACTTGTTGATTTATTGATGCGTAGCAATTCTGGCAGGTGAGAGGTGATACCTCATTGTTGTTTTAATTTGCATTCCTCTGAAGATTACTGATGTTAATCATTTTTTCCTATACCCATTGGTCATCTGTATATTCTCTTTGAAGAAGTGTCTATCCAGGACCTTTGCTCAAATTTTTATTTGGGTTGACTTCCTGGTGTTGAGTTGTGTAAGTTCTTTATATGTTTTGGAAATTAACCCCTTTCCAGATGTATCATTGAAGAATATGCTCTCCCATACAGTGGGTTCCCTTTTCACACACCAATGGTTTATTTTGCTGTGCAGAAGCTTTTTAGTTTGATATAGTACCATTCATATATTTTTCCTTTGTTTCCCTAACCTAGGAGATGTATCAGCAAAAATACTGCTTGGTGAGAGGTCTGAGATATTATGGCCTCTGTTCTCTTTTAGGATTTTTCTGGTTGTGTGGCTTACATTAAAATATTTTATTCATTTTTCAGTTTATTCTTGTGTATGATACAAATTTGATGGTCATTGCATTTTTTTGTTTTGCATGTACCATCCAATTTTCCCATTTATTGAAGAGACTGTCTATACTCCCTGTATGCTCTCACCTCATTAGTCAAAACTATATGGTGTGGTTATTTTCTGGGGTGTGTTCTTTTTCATTACTGTATATGCCTGTTCTTGTGCCAGTACCAGGCTTTTTTTATGACAATGGCTTTGTAGTATAGTTCGATATCCCATGTGGTCATCCCTCTAACTGTGTTCTATTTTCTCAAGATAGCTAAGGCTATATGGAGTCTTTTTTGGTTCCACAGGAATTTTTGGAATTTGTTCCAGATCTGTGAACTCTGCCATTTGTATTTTAATACATATTGTGTTGAATCTAGAAATTACTTGTGGGTAGTATGGACATTTTAATGATGTTAACTCTTAAAATCAATGAAACGGTATATGCTTCCACTTGTTTGTATCTTCCTCTATTTCTTTTTCCAGTGTCCTATAGTTTTCCAAGTAGAGGCTTTTTAACTCCTTGGTTAAGATTATTACTAGATACTTACTTACTTGATTGATTTATTTATTTATTTATTTATTTACTGCAATGGTAAACGGGATTGATTTTTTTAGTTTCTCTTTCTGAGAGTTGTTTCTTGTTGTATAAAATGCCACATGCCTGTGGACCTGGACAAAACCCAGAAGGGATGGCTGTGGGCACCTGTGAGGCAGACAGTGGGTCCTCCACTTCCCTTCTTGCTTCTTATTTTCAGCTTTGGCTTTCCTAGGCCTGCACACAAAAAAACTTAACTTTTATGGTTTGTATTATTTTATTCTGTTCAACCTAATAGTGTATTGAAATTTTTTTTAATATTTTTTTATTGATTTCAGAGAGAAAGGAAGAGGGAGAGAGAAATAGAAACATCAATGATGAGAAAGAATCATTGATTGGCTGCCTTCTACACACCCCACACTGGGGATCAAGCCTGCAACCCGGGCATGTGCCCAGACCAGAAATTGAACCATGAACTTTTGGGTTCATAGGTCGATGCACAACTACTGAGCCATGCCAGTGTGGCACTAATAGTGTATTTTAAAGCATAACATACAATTTCATGAATACACATAGAGGGGTTTTTGAGACTATTGTATTTGAAACTATTTTGTATTTAACTATGTAAAAGAAATAGAAATATGAATACTACTACTAAAAATAAACACACCTCTTCTTCCTGTTGATAGCCTTTCAAAAAGTGACATCAGTTCTCCCATAATAGGAAAAGGAAATTGACCAAAAATAAGCCAGACTCCAGCGGACCATCTCTTCCTGGCACTGACCCCACAATCCTGAATTCAACCATTTAGTCATTTGCTCTAGACTGTAAGTTCCTGCACAGTAAGCACCATGAATGCTTCATTGTTTTTGCAATGACTAGCTGAATAGAAAAAATTGATTTATCTGTCATTTGCATTGCTAGACCTCCTCAGAATTCCTCACCTTTATACCAGAAAACGGAGCAACACCCATCTAGCTAAGATACTGTTCCTATGAATGTGTTCAGCCCTGTGCTTTGGGCTGTACAGAATAAAAATGGTGGAACAACTCCCCAGATAGTAAGTTCTCAACACAAAATTTCAGTAGTAGATATAAATGCTGCATACAGTAAGCATATAGCTATTTAGGAAGTACAGGACAGTATCCAATATCTATACTTTATGTGATATCTGTGTTGTTCTTCTGAGCCAACATATGCACATAAACTCTCATATTAACCAGCATGTGCAAGATCCAGTACAGGACACTGGGTTTTTACTATAAGCTCTGCCCAGCTAGAAATCCTGGGCCCATGGTGATAGACTGGAAGATACTCAATGGGCATATGTGCAAACAGACACAATTATGGCCATGCTGTGAACATACATAATAAGTTTGCACCCAAAATCATGAAGAAAATATTTCAAATCAAAAGCTACCATGGTTTCTGGAATGCCTAGAAAGAATGATCAACAGCTCAGCTAGTATGGCTCAGTTGGTTGAGCATCATCCCATGCACTCAGAGGTCACTGGTTCGATACCTAGTCAGGGAGCATGCTCAGGTTGTGGGCTCGATCCCCAGTGTAGGGTGTGAAGGAGCAGCTGATCAATGTTTCTCTTTCATTTCTGTTTCTATCTCTCTATCCCTCTCCCTCTCTAAAAGTCAATAAAACCATATATATTTTTTTAAAAGAATGATCAATGGTTGGCTATATTCAGATGAATTTGTCTGGGTTCCACTGCTGTAAAGGAGATGATAATGATGTTGCAGTAAATAAAAATTCTTCAGGATTCTAACAAATATTGAAACCAGGAAGATCATTCCCATTTTCAAATACACACATGCTACTCTGATGTTTTCCAGTATTCAGTATTCACATTCAGAAAGAAAGGCTTCATCATGAAATTGTGAGTTGTGAGCTGTCTTTTTCATAAAACATATAATCCAAATTTTTCAACACATTCTGATGCTTCTCACACCACTATATAAATTCTAAACTACTGATCAGTACCTACAATGATCAGCAAGGATGATGTGGAATGGGGAGAGTATTGAGATAGTATAGTCATAGCACTTCAAAGGACAATGGCTCTGATGTCCATGTAACTGAGAATAAAAAGAAATAAAGGAACTGTAAATAATTAAGAAATGAAAGAAATACAGTTTATCTTAATAATTTTAGAGTCAGTTTTGCAGCCTGGAAACAGGTATCCCCTCCACATGTTTAATTCATATCAATTTTTCATACTGAATATTTTCCATCTACTTAAAACTACATCACTCCCACTGCAATATTTTCCTCCTAATTACGGAGTATCTATTACACACCAAGTAGTATCCTAAGTGCTTATTCCCTTCATATAACTATCAAAACAGTACCATGATTTGGGACATTACCAAGTTTTCAACTAAACAAACTGACAGAAAAGAGTGAATAACTTTGGTGACATAATAAGTAAAAAACAATAACCAAAGGAATGTCCACTTACATAGTTTCTCTTTAATAGAAAGAATGAAATAAAGTGTATTAAACTACGACTTCATTTGCTCATTATCCAATTATTACCATTTTCAGGATATTTCTGTACACCATTGAATTCAATGAAAGCCATTCTTAAAATCTCCAAGCACGACATATAAGCAACATTTCATCCACTATGGAACAAGGAAAACATACGTTAGATCTTACATGAGACACAGAAATGTAAACAGACAGAACTGCAGTGGGAGATTCTCAGACCAAGAATCATCAGATTTGGGAGAAATTCACTGTAATGTATAAAGGATGATTCACATTATAAACCTGTAAGATTTCTAGCTTGCTAGTAAATCAACAAATATTTTTAAATTAACTAATTTAGATCCTTTTTTTCTAAAGATATGTGTACACACACATACACACCCACTTCCTCATTAATCCTCTTACTCCTAAATCACATCTTTGTTACTATACTTACATATTACATGCAGTACATATCAAAACCATGCAAATCTGTTATATAGGCTCAGAAAAAGGAAGTGTGAAAAATATATATAGGCTAAAATGTAATCATGATGCAGAATTCCAAAAATAGGGCTTCTAATCATACTTTTTTAGATTTGTTAAATTAGCATTTGTTAAGCAAAGCTGACTGGTACCGAATGGTAACCAGCAGTAACTCAGAAGACCACAAGGTAAACTGGCAAAAACCAGTTTATAACTCATAGGCCTGGAGGAAATACACAATACGCCTGCAGGGGGCTACACAGGGACGCCAAGACAGGATGCAGGCAGAGGGTTGCAGGACCCAGAGTGCATGCCTTTGTTAGGAACACCATGTGGAGTGCCCTGGGGTTCTCAATTGAGGTCCAGATTGTTATATTCAAAGGAAAATCAACAAGGTTTTGGTAAACTCTTCAGCAATCTTATATATACGGCATACAAAATAAAGACCCTGAGGTATACAACACTCTATAGTGCTCAAGGGCTTCTTGAGAAGTCATATCAAAACCTTACACATTTAATTGTGACACTGTAAGTTGGTGTCTAGTGTGTGCACTGGAGGGAGAATGGAGTTCAAGTCAAGGCTCCTTAGCTACACAAGACAAATGCCAATGCAGAAACATCATAAAGTATTTTAGCTAAACTCTTACAAATACTTCCACTAGATCTTTACTGCAACCATCATAATGTCCCTGTAGGTACAACAGAAAGAAGAAAACATAAATTCTGGGGAAACTCTACATATTATATAAGGTTAAAGGTCCCTGGGTAAAGGACTTCTAGTAATATCATTCCAGTGCATTACAAATTGTTACCCACAGCGGTGAATGAGGTGGAAAACATTAACATTCAAGGCATGTTAACACCTCATTCATTACACATCACTATTAATACACTTATGTTCATTCATTTTATCAATGAGAATATATTAAGTCCACACATAGTCTAAACATAGCATTACAAACCCACTATATTACCACTAGTCAAAATACACATTACAATCATTTATAAAATTATGAAATGAATTAAGATTTTAAGCCAATAATACTTTGTTTCAAAAAAATCACAAATACTGTCATAATAATAACTTTTAAAAAAGGATACAGTGTAAGCAATTACATCTATTCAAACATCCATACCCTTGGTACTTTGATTCCTACTAAAAAGCCACATAACTTTATTTACTGGGTTCTCTAAAATAAGTATTCAGATTTACTCATATTTGAAAGTGTTGACATTACTTTCTACTGTGAATTTTCTGATATTTTAGATTTAATTTTGATTAGCCACTTTGCTAGATTTTCTAGATCTTTAAAGTCACTTTAAAGGGTAAATTCTGTGGGGCTTTCTGAAATGTGTATTTTGGACAAAAATCTTTCTTCATTTATAACAAAGATAGAATTTATCTCCAGTATGCATTCTCTGATATTGAGAAAGGCTGTACGTCCTGCAAAAGGGTTTGCCATATTCTTTAAATTTTTAAGTTTCTCTCCAGTATAAATTCTCATTTATCAATTAAGATATAAATGCTAAATACAGGCATTGCTGCATTTTTGACATTTGCATGATTTCTCTCCACTATGAACTCTCTGAAGTTCAGTGAGGTTTGTTTAATGGTTAAAGATTTTACCACATTCTTTTTATTTGTATTGTTTCAGTCTAACATAATTTATGTAATATGGACTAAGGTTCCAACACTGGGGGAAAGGCTTTTCCACGTTCTCTACACTTCCCTCTGGTCTGAATTCTATATACTTAGTGAGATTTGGGCAACAGCTAAAGGTTTTTCCACATTATTTACATTTGCATTGCTTCTATCCAGTTTGGATTCCCCAATACTGAGTAAAGCTATAGCAGAGGTTGAAGGCTTTGTCACACTCTTTACATTTGTAAAGCTTTTCTCAGGTATGCATTCTCATATGTTTGGTAAGGTTAAAGCAGAGGGTAAAGGATCTGCCACATTCTCAACATTTATAAGGTTTCTCTCTAGTAAGAGACCTCTGATATCTGGTAAGAGTTGAACAGTGCTTAAAGGGTCTGCTACATTCTCTACATTTATAAGGCCTTCCTCCAGTGTGAAATCTCTGAAGTTAAGTAAGTTCTGAGCACTGGGTAAAGGCCTTGCCATATTCTCTACATTTATAAAACTTCTTTCCAGATGAATTCTCTGATGTTGAGTAAAGCTGGAATACCAGTTAAAGGCTTTGCCACATTCTCCACATTTATAAGGCTTCTCTCCAGTATGAATTCTATGATGATTGGTTAGGTCTGAACACCGGTAAAATGCTTTGTCACATTCTCTGCATTTATAAGGCTTCTCCCCTGTGTGAGTTCTCTGATGTCGAGTCAGGCTTGAATACCAGTTAAAGGATTTGCCACATTCTTCACATGTATAAGCCTTATCTCTAGTATGGTTTCTCTCATGTTTCATAAGGCTTGTACAGTCATTAAAAGTTCTGCCACATTCTCTGCACTTATAAGGCCTCCCTACAGAATGAATTCTCTGATGTTCAGTAAGTTTTGAGCACCTGGTAAAGGCTTTGCCACATTCTCTACATTTATAAGGCTTCTCTCCAGTATGAATTCTCTGATGAAGGGTAAGGCTTGAACTCCGGATAAAGGCTTTGTCACATTCTCCACATTTATAAGGCTTCTCTCCAGTATGAAGTCTCTGATGAGTAGTCAGGTCTGAACACCGGTTAAAGGCTTTGCCACATTCTCTACATTCATAAGGTTTCTCTCCAGTATGAATTTTCTGATGTCGAGTAAGGCTTGAATACCAGTTAAAGGCTTTGCCACATTCTCTACATTTATAAGGCTTATCTCCAGTATGAATACTCTGATGTCGAATCAAGCTTGAAAACACGTTAAAGGTTTTGCCACATACTCTACATTTATAAGGCTTCTCTCCAGAATGAATTCTCTGATGACTGGTAAGGCTCGAATACCACTTGTAGGCTTTGCCACATTCTCTACATTTATAAGGCTTCTCTCCAGGATGAAGCCTCTGATATTCATTAAGTTTTAAGCACTTGTTAAAGGTTTTGCCACAATCTCTGCATTTATAAAGCTTCTCTCCAGTATGAAGTGTCTGCTGTTCAATAACATGGGAATGCAACTTAAAAACTTTATCACATTCTTTACATTTGTAAGGCTTCTCTCTAGCACGGATTTTCTTATGCATATATACATTGGATAATTGACTAAGGACTCTCACACACTGATTACACCGGAAAGGCTCCTCCCCAATATCATTATTTTTAAGTTCAGTAAGATTTAATGACTGATCAAAAGAGTTGGCATATTCGTTACATTTGTCTGTCATCTCTACACTATCAATATCCTGAGGTATAACAATATTTGAGCTTTTATCAAAGACATTCGGACACTTATCATTTCTCTGTGGAAGCTGAGTTGTCTGATGGTTATCAGAATTTGACTCTTGTTTAATGTTTTTCCAAGATTCATTGCACTGGAGACTTCTCTCTTCATTATGCGTACTCTGGTAATCATTGAAGACATAAAGGCCTTTAGTGATGGCATTTAACATTGCACATGCAAAGCTGTTTCCAGTTACCTATTCTGCTATCTACTGAACCATGATGGTTGAATATAAACCCTAACACACTCATAAAAATTAAAGACTCTGGAATAAGAAAGAATATGTATCTGTGAAACAATAATGCAAACTTGGTTAAGGATTTACAAATTCATACTTATAATTTCTATCTTCATTTTTTCAATCTGATTTTTTTAGAAATATTTTACTTAATCAAACCCTACATTAAATCATCCAATGGACTATCTGCACAGTAGACTAGCTTACTTCTCTGATATTACAAATTTAATTTCAGAGACTATGTACGAATATGTACTTTTTAAAAAATATCTTTGGACTTTACGTTCAGAAACACATGTTGTACCAATATAAGTGACTTAGAGTAGAAAATTTTTTAATATGTTTTATATCTAAAAAGTCTTTTGCCAACAAGATTTTTATGTGGGTAATTGCTCCGTTTGCTTATATCCCTCATAACACCTTTTTTTCTCTTCATATTCCCCTGCCCATTACAAAACTTTCATTAAGTGTAAATTCTCAATGCCACATCTTCGGTATCTTACCTGGAACATTTCGTGGAATGAATCTTTTATGCCTGACTTTGGCAACAAGTCCTGGGTGGCTTGAGAAGATATAGCTGAAATATACCAAATTAATTATCAAACACTACACTCAGGTAAATATTCTTTAAATTCTAATGTACAGAAAAGATTTCAGATGGCAGAATAGGAAGCACCAAAACATTCTTCCTCTATGGATATGTTAAGTTACCAATAATTACTGAACCAGTTGCCTTCTAGAGTACTTCAGAAAGCCAGCTCAAGACCACTACAGCCCCCAGAAAGCACAAAACAAAAATATCATATCAAAGAGAGAAGAAAAGTTGCTTACACTTGCTCACCCTCCCTGGCACACTACAAAATGACTGTGGGATAACTCCAAATTCTCAGTTTCTTCTCAGAAGAGAAATGAGTGTACTGTGAGTCTCATGGTCTTTTTTTGTTGTTGTTTTTGCGACCGCCTGAAAGACTTGTTTCTATTTTGAATGATACAGATTGCTAAGGAAATGGCAATACACTGTGAATGCATTGTGGCAGCTGTGAAGAAAAAAAAAGTAAGTGTTCAGGCACCAGAGGGACGACGACAGTACTGAAGACATCCATCAGGGATAGGAAGCCATCATGAGCTCTATATATAATTGGGAAATTACACAAAACACACATACAACCTTCAGGTCAAGATGGTGGTAAAAATAAATGTGGTACCGGCATTCTCCCACAACCATGTCAAAAATACAACTAAGGCTTCTCTCCAGTATGGAACTACAGAAAAACCATCATTCAGAACCACCTGACACCTAGTTGAACAGAAGTCCTACAATTAAGTTTATAAAGAAGAAGCCTCATTGAGACTGATTGGAGGTGCAAAGATGTTGAATGGACTGGTCCCACAGGGCGGAGAAAAATCGTGAGGGACATTTCAGCTGCACAGGTCAACTCTGAGGAACTAGGGGACCCAGCCCCACACTAGGCCCACCAGCCCAGGTTTCCAGGGTCGGGAATAGATGTCCCCATTAATTCTGACTATAAAACCAGTGGGGATTGTGGCTGAGTATGAAGGATAGCTGCTGGCGTTCAAGGCAGTTCCTCTTAAAGGGACCGCAAATGGACATACTCAGACTCACTCCCTCTGAGTCCCAGTGCTGAAGGAGCAATTCGAAATCAGCCAGGGATATACAGGGAGGAACTGAAGTCTCTGGCATTAAGATGAGAGCTGAAGAAGCTTTCTCCCAGACAGAAGTTTTGGTAGAAGCCACTGTTCCTTTTCTGAGTCCTTTCCCCACAGAGCAAGTAAGCAGGTGCCATATCTAAAACTCCATCTACCTGGTTCACACTGCTTGCCCCACCCTGGAGATTTCCTGAGACCCCATACCATCAACTTGTAGGCCCACCCAAGCTGTTTTCACTGGCTTTTAAATATAAACAGACTGGCATACACTCAAGCAGCATCTGGCTTCAGCGTGTGCCATACCTCTCGCCAAGTGTTCCCAGGCTCGGCAATAGTGGCAGCTGGCCTTGGTTCATAGCTTGGTCTTGCCTTAGAAACTCCAACCTCAGCATAATTAGCAGACATATGCAGATCCCTTTGTAGATCATGCCAGGTGATCCCAGGTAGAACACAGGCACTGGTTGTGGTTGACTTTGCGCTGCACTTCATGGAGGCCCCAAGCCAGCACACCTGGCAGACACCTTCAGACCATGTCGAAGCACCAACCAAACCACCTCCACGAGCAATAAGCTCAAGGTACAGACTCAGCAGGCACCAGACCACAATGAAGTAAGTCCTGCTCCACCAGGTGAGCCCTGTACAGCTAATCCTCCACAATGGTCACAGCAAGTTTTTTCAACTGATGAGCCTTGGCATAAATCCCTCCCACTGAAATTCCAACAGCAATCAAGGCTCAACTACAACAGGAGTATACATAGCCCATACGGTGGGGCGCACCTGGAATGCTCAGCTCGGGTAAACAGGAGGCTATGCCACTGGATGCTACTAGACATCGACTACATTAGGCCACTCTTCCAAGCCTGAGAGGTGTAGCAGCTCGACCTAATACATGGAAACAAACACAGAGATCTTTCCAAAATGAGGAGACAAAACATGTCCAAAATGAAAGAACAGAACAAAACTGCAGAAAAATATTAAAAAAAAAACGAAACAAGCAATCTACTAGATGCAGAGTTCAAAACTTAGAGGAATGCTCAATGAACTTAGGGGAAGAGTAGATGAACATAGAACTTCCAAAGCTTAAAAAAAAAAGAACATGGAAACCCCCAAAAAAGAACCACTCATAAATGAAGCACATCCTAATTAAAATGAAGAAAAATTTACAAGGAAATCAATAGTACAGTAGATGAAACCAATAATCAAAACAGCATAAAGAAAAAAGCACCCAAAAAAATTATGACAGTGTAAGGTATCTCTGGGACAACTTCAAGTATATCAACATTCACATCATGTGGATGCCAAAATAACGAGAAAGCAGAACAGAAAGAGACTCATACATACAGATAACATTGTGATGGTTGAAAGTAGGGAAGCTGGTTTGGGGTTGGATGATAAAAATAAAGGAATTAAGAAGTACAAATTGGTAGTAATAGAATAGTCATGGGGCTATAAAGTGTAGCACATGGAATATAGTCAATAATATTCTAATAATTATGCATGTTGTCAGATGGGTATGACATTTATTAGGATGATCACTTAAGTTATATAAATACTGGGGTGGACACCTGAAACTAATATGCAGTATGCTACCTGTATTTGAAAAAAATCACACACACACACACACACACACACACACACACACACACACACACACTGATTACATTTTCCAGAATAGGTTGGACAGGCCATTAAAAATCTACCACAACTCATTGTTCTTTGTGTTCTCCCATACAAAGCAAGTTCATAAAGAAATGGATGGCATCTGCTTCTCATGACCTTAAATAGCAACAAAAGATCACAAGGCATACAAAGAAACAGAAAAACATATAGTCCAACCAGAGGAACAAAGTAAGTCTCCATAAGTCAGCCCTATGTTAATGAAGATCTATTAATTACCTGACAAAGAATTCAAAATAACCATCTTAAAGGGGCTCAATTGGAAAATAGAGCAAAAAACATAGAAAACTAAGTTTTACCATCAAACCTATGCATGACAAAACTAAAAATGCATCTAAAAATATAAAAGAGAACCAAACAGAGATTGGGAACTGAAGAATACAGTATCTGAATTTAAATAGAAACATCAGCAACAGACTTGATCATGAAGAAGGAAGAATAAGATAACTTGGACACCTATCCCCAGTGTTCCTGGGATGTGAGAACCAAATTCTAGTATCTCAACCACTTCTCTCACAAACTACTTACATGAGGCAGAAAACAGACTTAAAAACTGGTTTAACATAGAATTCCTCAGCAAGATTCACAAAGTTTCCCACATTCCCCAACAAAATGCAAGAGCAGTCAGGTCATACCACCCTCACACTAATTGAAATAAAGAATAATTTACAAGGAAATTATTCTGTTTGAAGAGGACTTTGGCTCTCACTGCAAATGTGATGGAAGATCAAGGAGCAGAAGGAGAATCCTTAGATGACAGTCATCTAAGTGTTGGAGAGGATTTGTCCCTCTAACACAGAAACAGAAATAAACCTCATCCTCTAAAAAATCATTTCCCTTAAAACAGATCTTTCCAGACCATAGTTTAAGGTCTGATTTCCTCTGACCTTTGGCCTCCCACCTGGGTCAGCTGCTTCCTTCATTCCCACCTACCTGGGTGGATGACTACAGTCTTTTCTTCCTCCAATTCCCAGGTCTCCTCCATTTGCTCCAAAAAAGTGAGGTCTGGCTTAGACACAGTAAGACCTGTTTATGAGAAAAAAAGAACATGAGTTTTTTTGGGGTTTTTTTTGTTTGTTTGTTTGTTTTTTAAATATATTTTATTGATTTTTTACAGAGAAGAAGGGAGAGGGATAGAAAGTCAGAAACATCGATGAGAGAGATCGATCAGCTGCCTCCTGCATGCCCCCCAGTGGGGACGTGCCTGCAACCAAGGTACATGCCCTTGACCGGAATCGAACCCGGGACCCTTGAGTCCGCAGGCCGACGCTCTATCCACTGAGCCAAACCGGTTCGGCGGAACATGAGTTTTAATGGAGATTCTCCAATTTCCAGTCTGGTCCCTGTGCTCAAGAAGTGGCAGGATAGGACATTTTAGAATACCAGAGTATTCTAGAAAATTATCCCCCCAAATATTATTTTTTGACAGCACCTTTACCATACCAGAGACTACATTTAAAGTTTTCCAATCCTGATTTCCACTTGCAAGTACAATAGCAAAACACCAATTTCTTTCCTTGAGAACACAGATCTGAAATTCTATCATAAAAAGCAGATGCTACAAGCAGACACTATACTAATGAAGAAAACAAAACACTGCGTGTAGAGGAGAAATTCTGGAAGGAAGTGGTCCTCACCCAGGAATAACAGGTTCCTGTAGTTCTGCAACATCACGTCCATGTACAGTTTCCGCTGAGCTGGGTCCAGGAATGCCCACTCCTCCTGAGAGAATTCTATGGCCACATCACTGAAGGTCAACTGTCCCTGAAATTAAAAAAAAAAAAAAGAAATTACTCAAGTGGCCATGGGTAGAGCTCATCATGTGACCCAATATGAAAACAGAGTTAATGGAACCAGTTTTGACCTAAAAGTATCCTGAATTATCCAATAAGATCATTTTGACACTAACATTCTCTAAAGTATTTTGAGAAAGGAGGATGACATATGATCCACAAAACCACTGTAGAAGCTTTACTTTTCTGGAAGATAAATTTTAAAAATAAAGGCACCAACATAGGCATATCCTATGTTGAGTGCTATATTTGAATCATAGAGGATCAAGTATATATATTTCTTAGGTTGAGAATTCCTTCTCAGTGAAAACTACACAGTACTTCTAAAATTTTAATATGTACAACAATAAAGTGGAGATGGAAACAAATGCAGATTCTTATTCAGAAGTTCTACGGAGGGGCCTGAGTTTCCCCAAGTTTCCCCAGCTCACTTTTAACTACGGACGCCAATGTGTCTGAGCCCTGAACTGCTCCTTTAGCTAGCACCGAGTAAACAAACACAGGAAAAAAATTCGTATACAGGACTTTGACTGAAGAGTTTTATGGAATGTACAGGCCTCATAAATTAGTAAGCCAACCAACCACAGTTCTTCTCTAAAATTGACTATGTACTAGATATTATTCTAACAGTTTTCTATAAATTAATTAACAAAACTCATTAAGAAATCAGAGAACAATGATATTATTCTTCCTTTTTCATGAGACTGTTTTGTAAAACATCCAGCAAATGACAGAGGCGGGGTATTATTCTAAACTTCCCCTAGTATGTGTCTGTGATGCCTGCGAAATACAATAAAAGTTCACAGGTCTGAGGCCTGACTGATAAAAGCCTCCAACTGCGAAGCTTCTATCGCCGGGTAAACAAAAATGAGAGCGTTTATTTTGCAATGCAACCTACAAGCAAAGAGAGACTAAAAAGAAAAAAGAGTTTTCAGATGAATGTGATTGTTTATGCACATTTTTCAAAAGATTTCTGTGAGGCCTGGCCAGTGTGGTTCATTGGTTGAATGTCTATCTATGAACCAGGAGATCACAGTTCAACTCACAGTCGATTGCAGGGGTTGCGGGCTTGAACCCCATAAATCTTACAAATTTATGAGACTGGGGGGCATGTAGGAGGCAGCCAATCAATGATTCTCTCTCATCACTGACGTTTCTCTCTCTCTCTCTTCCTCTTCCTACCTCTCTGAAATCAATAAAAATATATTTTAAAAAAATATTTCTGTGAGACTCTTATTGGGGATAAAGAAAAAATATTAACTCTATAATTCGAGAACATCTGCACCAAGTGAAAGTCAGGTTTAAAGGAAGTGACATCATGTAACTGAAGCACATGGAAGGACACATCATCACCAACATTAGTTTTATCCAAATTTCAATTCATATATACCTTCCATATTTTATAAATCTAACAGTGCATTTAAAAAGTAAGACTTTCTTGCCAATGTAGTGAGCAAGTCTCTTCTAATTATTTTTCTTTTTCAGAACTTTCTGATCTACTCTGAGCCACTAAGGCCATCCTGATTAAATGTAGATTTTTCTCAGTCCTGTTCTACAGAGCTGATGTTGTAGCCATACGAAATCTAAAATGTACATTTCCCATCTTCACACCCCATCTCAATAGAAATCCTGGTTATCAATTCCTTCCCATGTCACAAAGAAAATATTTTCAAAAGTTGAAGATGTAGGGAGAAAAAAGTGGACATCTGTAATACTTTCAACAATCAAGATAATTTTTGTTAAGTTGAAGGCTTAGGGGTTCAGAACAAAGCACCCTAAATTATGTTTCAATGGTGTGTGCATTATTTTGAGCTAAAGGCACCAAAACCCTGTGGGTTCAAAAGAAACTTCTGCTCTCCCCTTTAACTACCTAGAAGAATTTAAATTAGGAGCCTGGCCCGTGATACGTGTTAAAACCAAAAATGACTATTTACCTATCTAGGTGGTAGGCAAACTAATACCTCCTGAACATGTGATCTCCGGTCAAAGATCTTCTGAAGTTTAAAAGTGCATTACCTCATCCCAGGCTCAGACTGTCTTATATATCAAATTTCCCTTTCAGTCTCTGAACCTGTGAATGTGAGGTATCTGACTCTCTCATGTATGTGGAGCTCCCATACATATTTTACCTGTTAAATTTCAATATTTTCCCTTGCAATCTGTCTCATGTCTATCTGATTAGACCAACCAAAAGAACCTTGAAGGTAGAAGAAAGTATCTTCCTCCCCCACAACGGTCATTAATTTATGGCAAGAGTTCATCATGCCCTATAGGGGATGTGGATGGAGACAATAGACAGAAAACTGTGCGACAAAAGAAAAAAATATTGCCCAGCCGGTGTGGCTCAATAGTTGAACTTCAGCCTATGAGCCAGGAGGTCATAGTTCGATCCCCAGTCAGGGCACATGCCCGGGTTGTGGGCTTAGTCCTCAGTGTTGGGCATGCAGTAGGCAGCCAATCAATGATTCTCACTCATCACTGATGTTTCTCTTTTTCTCTGAAATCAATAAAAATATATTTTTTTAAAAAAGAGAAAAATAGCCCTGGTTGTTTTGGCTCAATGAATAGAGCATCAGCCTGTGGACAGAAGGGTCCTGGGTTCAATTCCGGTCAAGGGCACATGCCCGGGTTGCAGGCTCAATCCCCAGTAGGGGGCGTGCAGGAGATAGCCAATCAATGATTCTATCTCATCATTGATGTTTCTATCTCTCTCTCTCCCCCTCTCCCTTTCTCTCTGAAATCAATAAAAATATATTTTAAAAAATAAAAATTTAAATAAATAAATAAGAGAAAAATATTCTAGAGACGGTATAGAAATGTCACCACCCCTCAACCCCCATTCAAAATCCCAGAGGCAGCTGACAATATCTCCCTCCTAAAGGCCTGCATCCTTATAGATGTCGAAACTGCTGATGCACATGAGCAGTTGAAGGACCTTCCTGGGGTGGCTCCAGTGAACTACACCATCATTATTTCCCCACAGCACAGGCGCTAACAACCAGGCACCCCAGTTGGAAAAGGAAATCACTCCACCAACAGGCCTTTTTCAAAAGGCGCACTTTGTCCCAAGCTTATGAAAGCAGCCAATCAGAGCCATCCTTGAGTTGGTTCAGAGGACCTTCCAGTCTTCTGTGTGTTGTTCTTTATGCTCAGCATAAGCCTAACAAAATTTACCCAGAAGTTTCTCTGAAGGTTCCTCTTGATTTATATCTTGGGAAACGGGAAAATGTCATATGCCAGTAGCATTTTAAAGAGGTAACAGACAATCATAAGAAAAACTAAGTAAGAACTTGAAAACCACCTCACTAGGAAGGACCATCAAAGTAGAGAAGTAAAGGTTTGCAGCTTCTAAACCCACGAACTTTAGAAAGAAATGCAAACACAACTGACCTAAGACAGAGCATTTACCTGAGGAGCAGCCATGTTGTCCTCTTCCTCCTCCTGCTCCGGGTGGTTTCCTCAGGCGACCTTATGCTGCGGAATCACATCTGCGTCTTGAGGATATGCTTTCAAAGGCCTAAGCACAGCCTCTTCCTCTGCTTCCACCACGCTCACAGGCAGAAGGAACTTGAAATGATGAAAAATGTCACACTTCCTTGTCCTTTGTCACAGGAGAGATTCAGAAACAATGAGATCCTACATGAAGACCAAACTGAGTTTTTTCTCTACTTTCTTTCCTGTGCTCTACCCTTCAACACATGCACAAATTCTGACACTGCAATGACAATGTGGACTGTTCTGCTCCTCTCAAACCAAACAGAGCACCCAGTTACCTCCCCTGGACCAAAGCCAGCTCTTCACAAATATACTGGGGCAGAGAGCCCTTCCGCTAAACACTGGCCTCAATTTTGAATCACCTGGAGCACAACATTAAAAAAAATGATGTTTGGCCAGACTCCCGGCCACCTCTCCCCGACCTGCTCCTCTCCCAGCCTCTCCCAGACTCCACAAGTCCGCACCTCCACCTGCACTTCAGCCACGGATATATTCCAATATTTGGGACTCACAACACAGTGAACAAGACTTTTCACGTTGTGGCTTTTGAATATATGTTTACAAACCAAACCTTCACTCTCGAGAAGGGCCTGATAGATCCCCGGGAGAATGTTGCAACGATTGCTGATTGTGCCGGTGTGATTGAAGGAGCCAGTCGGAGCCGAAATGCCTTGCTGAACGGGGACACCAAGAATTATGATTGGGATTCTGGCTACACATGCCATCAGCTAGGAAGCGGGCCCCTGTGGTTCAGCTGGCACAGCGTACATGACTGGGTCAACACGGCTGTTACTTTGGGATGTGACAATGGACGCTACAGCTACTACATTGAGGCTTCCACCTCCCAGCCACAGTGGACCGTGGTGGCCGACAGAACTGAAGTCTCCTGCAAGTACTGGCAGCCAGTAACTTTTGAAAGACAGCCTGCCTCCTTCATCCGAATGGTTGGAACACACAACACAGCAAATGAGGTGTTTCACTGTGTCCACTTCGAGTGTCCGGGGCAGCAGAGCAGCCTGGGAGGCAAACAGCAAGGAGCCGGGGACAGGGGACACCAGCCTGGCCAGTTAGCTGCTTGAGCCGCGCGCCTTGCAGGCCCCCAGCGGCAGCTCACTGCCCTCCAGCCCGGGCTCCATCTCTCGCTCATTTGGCGCAGCACCAGTAAAGGGGCTCTGATGGGCAGTGACTTTGGGGGCCCTGTGCGGCAGGACCGTGTCGCTGCCCCGCCCCTTCCTGCGGGGAGCAAGTTTGCTCCCAAGGACGGGAAGGTCTCGCCCGCTTTGTCCTCAGTTTGTTCCGATCAGGCTGGTCTCCAGGGGAGAAAACGGTCTTCAGTCCTCCCCAGCCCAGCGTTCACACCCTGCATCCCTAATCTAACCCAGGCCGGCAGGGGGCACACAGGCCTCTCGGACCTGGGGTGCCCTTTGGGAAATGGGTTTCCTTCGTGTCTACTCATGAACACATCACCCTGGCAACTGGTTTTTCACTACTTTTAGTTACTCACTGTTTGCTGAATCCTAGGTGTTCGGGTCTTTTTGAAATGCTCAAACGGTACTTGTTTTAACCCCGTTGACACTAATTGTCCTTCCTTAGTTTTGAACGGTTAAGCGTGGGGTGGATAAGCGTGGGGTGGAGCGAGAAGCACGCCGTCCCCCCCAGGGCTCACAAGGACACTCCGCAGAGGACGTTCAGCAAAACACAGGCGCGGCGCAGCCTGGCACTGAGCAGCCTGGCACTGAGCAGCAGGCACTGAACAGCCTGGCACTGAGCAGCTGGCAATGAGCAGCCTGGCACTGAGCAGTCGTGGCACTGAGCAGCCTGGCACTGAGCAGCTGTGGCACTGAGCAGCCTGGCACTGAGCAGCTGTGGCACTGAGCAGCCTGGCACTGAGCAGCTGTGGCACTGAGCAGCCTGGCACTGAGCAGCGTGGCACTGAGCAGCCTGGCACTGAGCAGCTGTGGCACTGAGCAGCCTGGCACTGAGCAGCGTGGCACTGAGCAGCCTGACACTGAGCAGCAGGCACTGAGCAGCTGTTGCACTGAGCAGCCTGACACTGAGCAGCCTGGCACTGAGCAGCGTGGCACTGAGCAGCCTGACACTGAGCAGCAGGCACTGAGCAGCTGTTGCACTGAGCAGCCTGGCGCAGAGCAGCCTGGCACTGAGCAGCGTGGCACTGAGCAGCCTGACACTGAGCAGCTGTGGCACTGAGCAGCTGTTGCGCTGAGCAGCCTGGCGCAGAGCTGCCTGGCACTGAGCAGTCGTGGCATTGAGCAGCTGTTGCGCTGAGCAGCAGGCACTGAGCAGCCGTGGCACTGAGCAGTCTGGCAATGAGCAGCAGGCACTGAGCAGCCTGGCACTGAGCAGCCAGGCACTGAGCAGCCTGGCACTGAGCAGCCTGGCACTGAGCAGCCGTGGCACTGAGCAGCCTGGCACTGAGCAGCAGTCACTCAGTGGCCGGGTCGTGGACTGGTCCTTCCGCGGTGAATCCAACTGGGAGGTGACAGGAAGCACCCACTGTGCGCCTGCTGATGACGTGTTCAGATGCCTGCGTGGAACCTGCACACCTCCCTTGGGCTGGGCCGTGGGCAGGGCGGGCAGGAATGCAGACCTGGGCCTGGGGCAGCCCTGATCATCCTCCTCCTTCCAGTTCCGAGATGCTTTCCTCCTCCTCCTCACTGCACCGTCCAATCTGGCGGCCTGCTCCGCCCGCGCTGTGCGTCTCAGTCATCTCCATTTGGGTTCCTTGTAACTCCATCAGATCCTTGTCGCTGTTTCTTCTCTGCAGCTCTCCCTCAGCTGTCTGTCTGTCCATCCCTGCCAAGCTCCCCTAGACGCAGAGTCCTGCACACCCTGTGACGCTGGGGGGCGCTCACAGGGGTCCTTTCTCTGGCGTCTTAAAGACACGGTGGTTGAGTGTACAAAGAGGAGGGCCGGCTCACTGCTTTCTCCTGCAGTCCAGTGACTGAGGGGGCGGTGGGGTAGCATCGGACGAAGGGCTGTGGGAGCGCGCCGGGAGGAGCGGGGCTCCGTCTCCCTGCCCCTCACACTCTGATCTGCCCTCTCCCCTGCGTGGAATGAGCACGGAGCCGTGTCCGCGTCCAGCCCCAGGCCCCTAAGAGCGCGGCTACTGCCCACTCAGCACCCGCCAGCCACACACTCACTGGGCAGCCGGAGGAGTCAGCAGGCGAGTGCAGATGCTTTCAAAGGCTCACCTGTCGAAGGGCCTCTCGGTAAACTCTGAAGTCACCTGTCCAGAGAGGAAGCCCACAGCGTGGACCCGGGGACATGGGGTGGGCCCCGCTGCCCACACAGCACACCTGGGGCCAGGCCAGGGCTGCTCAGCTTCCCCCGTGAAGGGCACAGACTGTGTCAGAGCATTGGACCCAGCGGTCCCTTACCGCCAGGCTCCCTCCTCCCTTCTGTCTTCTGGAGACCCCTTTGGAGTGTGCACCTTCCAGACTTCTGCCCTAGGTCTGTCTTGAGAATGGAATCTGTCCCCCCCTCCCACCCACCAACATCCGGCTCTTCAGGGGCTCCTACTATCAGATGAAGGGAAGGAAGGGGAAACAGAGGCAGTCTGAGGACATGGTGGCAGGGAGGCAGCTGGCCTCAGCCACACCTGTCTGGAAGCCTCACGGGCATGGACGCTGCTCTGTGCCCAGAGGAGCTCAGCAAATCCTGCACAGCTGCCCCCGGGACAGGCAGGGGCTCTGCTCTCCTGATGGCCTCCTGACTGGGGAGCAGGGGGCTGCAGACCCCACTGAAGACCTCTCACAGCACACACGCCCAGACTGAGGCCTGCACCTCCAGGAGTGAGGGGTGAGTCCCCAGATGACTGCCCGACTGCTGTTCTCCAGCGCCGGCTGGGCCTGCGGAGGATTTCTCTCCTGTGGCCGTCTGGACTAAAACGGTCCCCAAACAGGAAGAGACCAAGGGAGCCTACTGGGGTGCAGGTGCAAGCTGGGCTGGCACTCAGCTGGAAGGGTTCCCAGGCACCCGGTTCGAGGAAGGAGCCTGGGCTGGGCCACGGCAGGGCAGGGCTGGTGTGGGACCCGGCTCCCTCGCCTCTATGAGGACACGGCCTGGGTGGTTGTCTGGGCTGAGGAAAGATCAGGTGAGGCTGGACCCTCAGTGGAGGTGGACAGGGGTGTTTGCGACCTCTGGCCCGTTACTGTGACCCTTGTCAATTCCACACTAAAACAACAGCTTTGAAACTACCCCCTACTCCCCCCCTCCCTCAAAGGGCACTGTGGGAGTGAAAGGCCACTTTCACCAGGGCTCTGGGAGAGAGCCTTCAAAGGCACCTCTGACAGTTTCCAGGAGGCCCTGGGCAGCAGTGCGCACGCCTAGACTGTGCCTGGTAGGGCCTGTGCTGGGGTGGGGAGGTGTAGGGGGGTCTGTGCCTGGCAGGGCCTGCACCTGGTTAAGGTGCTATTCAAGCTGCCAACTTGAAGCAGGTGCAGTAGTGTAACACAGATATCTACACACACACTTGTTTTCCGTATTCTCAGTGCTTTTTCTGTTCTGTTTCTGATATTAGAACCATGAGCCCATGATGGATGTGGGACTCTTCTTAGTCACTCTTTAAATTGTCACTTTTAAAATCTTAATTTAATGACAAATACATTAAAAGTGTTTTATTCCTTAAAAAAAAAAGGTTCACCCAAACCAGTTGTCCAACTCTGTGGGGGAGGGCACAGTAATGCTATTTCTTACAACTCATCAAGTGATCTAATGGAAGGAGACCATGTAGCTAAGCATTTCTTCTGAAGCTTTAATTCACATGCAGAACCCTTGGGAATCAGGGCCCTATCTGAAAAGTTATGATTCTGTAGGACTCCAGTGAGGCCCATGGAATGGCATCTCTAGTTCCCTGGTGGAGCTGACCTGCTTTAGGTAACAGTGGCTACAGATACTAGACTCAGAACACCTGAGACCTGTGAGTTTTGTGAGACTGGATTAGGAATTTCTAGAAGCGCAGGATCCCAGGCTGGATTCCTGGTGCTGGGGAAGTTCTGGAATGGCATGGCCAGGTCCATAGGTATTGTGTAGGTACAGGGGGGCAGGGAAATCATATGGTGGCAACAGAGTTGTGTGAGAGGCCTG